CTATGCCCATAAAGGTTTTGGATTTCGTTAAAGCTATAAAATTGTTTTTTCCTATAATCGTATATATGTTCGATAAAGATTACACCCTTTTCCATCCATTCACAGAAAACAAATGGTTTGTTACTTAGTTTTATATTCGTGTTGTTCCATATAATTTCTTTACCAACATCAGTTATTTCTTTATTAAAGTTTGCATACGACCAAGCACTGAGTACGTCTTTTAAAAATGTAGATCTAATATCTAAATTTTCAATATCTTTTATGTTAAGATTACATTTAAATATGAATTGTTTTCCATATGTATTTAACATATTTTCATATCTATAACCCATTTTGAATGTTGCTGCAATTTAATGCGTTTAAACCCAGGAGCATTTTAAGGAATATATAAAACTTTCAATGTCTAACATTTTAAGCCCCCCATGTTGGTAATCTTGAATAATCTTATCTCTTGATATTTTGTCTGGTTTGTTGTCCCATAGAAAGTTAAACATGAGCTTTTTTATTTTATTTATGATTTCTTGGTCTGGGTTATGTAAAACTGTGAGAGGATAAATAAGTTTGGGCATTGCAAAAAGTTTTAAGAACGGTTATTTTTCCAAAAAGACTTAGTTTCCATCGTTTCCATTTATGCAAACATTGATCGAACTCTTTCAGTTTAGGTGTTAAATTAGTATTAAGCATTTCGTCTATGTTATTAGTGAAAGTTATACCGAGCGTGCTAGCTTTTTCAGATGTCCATTTAAAATTATTGTCATTGCAGAAATTGATATGAGTATTTCTTAAACTTCCAAGTTTTAAAACAGTACATTTATCTTTATTCAATTTAAGGCCTGATATATTTGAAAACTTTTTTAGTGTTGAAATAAGTGTAAGAAACGATCTTTTTTCTCCATCAGTTATAAAACATGCATCATCGGCAAAAAGTGTTTGTTTAAGTTCAATGTTTCCTATCTTAATGCCTTTAATATCTTCATTTTTGGTAACTTCATTTGAGAGTAATTCTATACAAATAATAAATAGGTAAGGGGATAAAGGGCACCCTTGTCGCACGCCTTTTTCTATTTTAAAGAAACTGGATAGATGACCATTATTATGTATACACGATTTAGCATCTTTATAAAAAAGGCCAACCCAATTTATAATATGTTGAGGAAATTTAAATTTCAATAAGCATTTTTTCATAAAGTTATGGTCAAGACTATCAAAAGCTTTATTAAAATCAGAAAAAAATATTAACCCTTAAAAGTAAAAGTCTAACATTTTCCCCAATATATCTACCTTTGATAAAGCCTGTTTGCTCTGGACTGATAATATTTGGAAGTTTGGTTTTTATTTTATTTGCAATTGCTTTTGTCGCAATTTTGTAATCTACATTAAGTAAAGAGATCGGACGCCAATTATTTATTGATAACGTGTCTTTGTCTTTCTTTGGAAGAAGAGTAATAATACTTTGTTTTTGAAGTTCCGTAAGATTTCCGTTATCATAAGAGTAGTTTAGAGAACTAATAAGATATTGTTTTAAATCATTCCAAATATATTTTGTAAAAATCAGCAGTTATACCGTCACTTCCAGGACTTTTGTTATTTTTCATGTCTTTAAGAGCAATTCCGCATTCGTATTCTGTAAGATGACCATTTTCTACATATTCATTATTTTGTTCTAAAGTATTTATTTCATTTGCGAAAAAGATAGAATCTTCGCAATCTTCTATTTGTAAGTCTTTTTTTATATAAACGTTCATAAAAATCTTTAATCTTAGTCAAAATTTTGTTTTGATTCGTTTCAATGTTATTACTATTATCTTTTAGTTGGCTAATTATCTTTTGTTCAGCATTTTTCTTTTCAAGGTTTGCAAAATATTTTGTGTTTTTCTCTGACCCTTCCACCCATTCAGCGTTGCTTCTTAGCAGGATACCTTTAATTCTTTTGTCAATAAGATCATTAAGTTTTGCTTTTTTTCAGATTTAAGATTTTCTATTAAAATATTATTACTTGTATTTAACTCAATTTCTTTTTCCAGATCCCTAATTTTAGAATTAATTTCATGCTCATTTCTAAGATCATTTTTCTTTTTAATGCTAGCGTATTTGATAGTTTCATCTCTAATTTCTGCCCTTAATTATTTCCCATAATACGTTTGGATTGGCTTGGTCATTAAATGACACTATTTCTTGTATTGATGATTTAATTTTATTTTGATAATCAGTGTCTAAAAGTAAACGAATTGTTAAGTTTAAAGTATCCTGGGCCCTTTTACATTGAATAAACTTTAGATGCATAATCACAATAGAATGATCTGATTTATAACCAGTTTTTATTTGGAAGTCTGTTACTGAATTGAGAGTACAAGTGGAAAAAAGAAAATAGTCGAGTCTGCAGAAAATTGGTGGTTATTATGAGAGTGCCAAGTAAAAAGTTTCCGTTCTGGATTAAGTAGTCTAAAAACATCACAAAGATCAAATGTATCAATTAGTTCATTAACCTTTTTAGAAGTTCGTTTATTTGTATCACTTTTACCGTTTAGTTTGTCTAAAGAATGATAAATAACAGTATTAAAATCGCCGCCAACTAGTAGTATTTCGTCACTAAATTTATCAAGATTGGTTTCTAATATATTGAAAAAATTGATATCGTCGTTATTTGGAGCATAAACGTTGAATATATTTATCACCTTTTCCTCAATTTCTAGTTTAATTCGTTGCATTCTGCCCACAATAACTTCTTGATATTCTAAAATTTTACAATTACAAGACGTATTAATAAAGATACCGACGCCTAAGCTGTTTGTACTATTTCCGCTTAAGTAAGATTTTCCATTCCACTTTGCCGACCAATTGTCTGTATCATCAGTGTTTGAGTTATAATTTGTACCTGACTCTTGTCAGCATTTGCTTTAAAAAGATATTTTTCCCCCAACCATTTCTTATTTTTAAAGATTGAGTAACAACAAATGCACAAAATTTCTGACCAAAGTGCATTTATTCCAATGAAAAAGATATTTGAACCAAATATGTCTGTTTTAGGGTGTGTGTGTTTTCATCCCTTAATATGGGCACCTGTATTTTTGAGCTGAAAAATTATACACCTGCATTTAAAGACCTGTTAAAAGTTTACACATGTATTTTAAACAGCTGTAAAACAGTACAACTGTATTATAAACCCGTAGAAAATACGGTTAATTTACATATTTCGTTCATAGTACAGGTGTAAAACAGCTGCATTTTTTGAAAAAAAGCAGGTGTAATTTGCTATAAGTTTATCTAAACTGGAGGGAAATACAGTTGTAATTTCTAACAGGCAAACATACAGGAGTAAAATTCCGTACAGGCAGGACGATTTCATTTCATTTTACGCCTTTTCCCAACAGTATTTCAGTAATATAGGCAAATAATATTGATTTAAATCATCAGTAATAGAAACTACGGTAGGGAAATCTACACTAAAAACTTGGAGAGCAATTATTATTATGACAAATACTCGTTATGAATATTATCTAATTACGCGTGTACGGTATACATGTCAGAAATGTTGAACAGTTTTGATTTAAAATCTGCAAAGATAATTGAATTGTGCGATGGATTTACTTTGTGTAAAGGGATTAAAAAACGGACAGTTACGTTCATGATACTTGTGTGTCTACAGACAGCATTGACTGGTGTGTATTTCATGTATAGCTATTCCAGTATTGTAAGGGGTATTCAAATAGATATTGAGCACCTTCGAAACAATAATGTAGCTGATCTTAGTAGAGATAACAACAGTTGGATATTCCGTCTTGAAAATCAAGAAACGTTAGGAAAGTTCTATTTCGAACCAGAAGCTGGAAGTAAAAAAACTATATATGTTGAACAAAGGGAATATTATACCAGTTGATGTTTCAACAAGCGTGGCATTTGAAGCGTTAGCAAGAAAAGTGATAAAATCTAGGCAAACTGTACTATAACAAATCAAAATATTACATTAGAGGTGAGTACTAGTACATGTAATATCAGGATCCATGCTGTTCTCTATCAGTTTCTTTACTTGCCATTGGGCTTGTAAGCGAACAGCATGGATCCTGATCAGACTGCGCGTATGCGCAGACTGGTCTGGAACCATGCTGGTCGCAAAAGCACTATGTTGGTTTTTGTGGTGACGCGGCTCATATAGTTTTAACTCTCGCTTCATGATGAACGCTTTTAAGCTTGTTGTAATAATTCTGTAGTTTGCTCCTTGGAAATAACCAGCACTGTTTCTTATAAGGAAACATGACCCAAATTAGGGTTCGAACCCATGATGCCTTGGTTTAAAGGCAGACACCTCTAGTTATCCGTTCCTTTAAAATTTTAGCCTTAAATGTCACAAGATACTGGTATGTTGGCTGGGCTGTTTTTTTTTAATATGTCATTATATTCAGAAACATCACATTTCATGTGATATTTTTAAAATGTATTATTAGATACTAATGTTCATTTAAATGAAACTAGCTGATGCTTTTCTTTTTTCGTTTTTTTATAAAGGTTGGCTTTTAATGTATGAATAGTTATCCTAAAGATTTTCCAAATTAACCCATGTTCAAACCCTGATGAACATACGCATGAGAGAGTAAAGACAGTTTACATCAATAAACAAACCTTATAACTTGATATTGATTATTTGTTTACTGGCATTGTAAAGTATAAAAGATTTAAAGATTTTGTTCTTAACCACAGACACTTGGGGTGTGGAGCTCAAACACATTTAAATTCCAAATAAAATGTATATTTGTCAATACCAGTACATGTACTTATCATATATATAAAACATTATAATGTACCTTCTTGAAAAAATAAAAATCAACGACTATAATATTTTTGATCTCCACACCCTCTAAACGTTCTAGAATTTTTTTCTTCACCGTATGCGTATTTACTAAATATTTACCAAGAAAATTAGGTTCAATTTCTTTTGACATGTAATGGACATTGGATTTGATAGATTAGAAAACATTATCCTCCTTTCTATTATTCTGTTTTAGACTTACTCGACGGTACCAAACTGCAGGAAAATTCACAAGGATATAGAGGATGTAAGTTATTTCGCATTCCAAGAGGAAATAGATGTTCAAATAGCTTATAGTATTCTAGTTTATAAAGACTATCAAATGGTTGAATTTTTGCTACGAACTATCTACAAGCCACAAAACACATACTGTATACACGTTGATAATAAATCACCTAAATTTTTTGAAAATAGTGTGCGAGGACTTGCAACTTGTTTTCAAAACGTGTTCATAGCCACGAAGCCTGTGAATGTTTACTGGGGCAATTTTTCTGTAGTTGAAGCCGAAATGTCATGCATGAAAGACCTTTTGAACAAATCTAAGTCTTGGAAATATTTTATTAACCTAACTGGGCAAGAGTTCCCGTTACGAACTAATTACGAAATTGCCAAGGTGCTTATTGCTCTCCGAGGTTACAACAACATGAAGTGTAGCGACCGTATAAAGTGAGTATATTGCACTTCATTATATAATCTATAAAAAAGATTTGTTCAAAATGCGTTTCCCTTATTTGCTAAGAGGTGCTTCGGTCAATATGAACTTCTTTTTTCTGTAAATATCACAACATATTCACCAGTTTAAAAGTTCATAATTGTATAAAATTGTAAAATCACATATCGCCATTCTCCGTATTCTGTAACCAATATATTATAACTATTATTAAAGTTATTTGGTCAAATAGAATGTCTTCTGTAGAATAAATAAATATGTTGACAGTATTTAGTATCAAGTCACGACATTATTATACATGAATGTTTTTGTGAGATGTCGATGATGATCCAATATGACACATTTATATATTTTGAGAAAATATATTGTACCAGAACATAATATGATTATTTATTAAACAAATTGAGGATATTTCAGTTTTATCTATAAATTCAGGATTTATTTTCATTGAGTGGTAGAAATAAAATATTTAATAAATTGCGGTAGCCACGAGTGAAATATGATGATTTTCATGCCACAAAATAAAAATAAATCCAGTATTTATAGTAATAACTTGAATTTTCTGTTGATTATATACTTTTTTCTCTTTTTTACATTACTATTTGAAAGTAACAAAAGACGAAAAGATACCTTTATGCCCAGACAAAAACCTTCAACCAAATCGGGAAAAATGTCGGTGAATATAATAAATTGATTGGTGTTAAAACGTCTAATTAAATCGAATTAAAATCAGTCGACTTACACATCATGGTCTCACTTATTGTAGGCCATTTGACGTTTCCGTACTTTATATATTTGGTATCCGTTAGTATAATATAATAGTATAATCGACGTACAAGTAGTTTATTGATAAAAAGCCATAAAATCCATTGTTCATTAACATTTGAAGTAAGAAACATAAAGGAAGGTATTCACACTAAGTGTATTGAATAAAAAGTAAATCTTTAAACTTAAAATAAAATAATACATAAATATAAAATGTATCAAAAGTGATATAGTGAATTGGGAAAATTTCAAGAATAACGATTATTAACGGACTACATTAGACACTTTTACATTCCATCAAAAACGTTTTAGTAGTGCAAATAGTTTTGATAAGTAATATTTGTTTTCAGAAAGTCTGATCTACTTATATCAGGAGCGCCACCTTACGGCCTTACTGCCTACAAGACCTCAACACATGTTGTATTAACTCGAGAATTTGTTGAATATATTCTTTACAATAAAACAGCAAAAGCGGTCTTAAACTGGACAAAGCAATTGAAGATACCTTCAGATGAAATAGCTTTTTCAACACTTAACTGTAATCAGAAGCTTAAAGCACCAGGGTCATATAGAGGTAACATATATTTTAGCCATTTATATCAGTAATGTACATCTTCAACAGAAATTGTACCGGACTGCTCACAACGCTAACAACAAAAATAAAGGGGTATTACTAAGAGGTGGGAATAACAAGGGTGTTTATTACTGGGGGAGGGGGTGTGTAACTAAGAGATTGATAATGTAGTGTTTTATAATACTGCACGTTTGAATGTCGTTTTTCATGGTGACGTTTATATAGATTTATATACACGGCTGCTGTCGATTTATGAAGAAATCTTACTTTTTCTCCACAAAATGATGCTTGCTATATTATGAATTCGTTATAAAGATTGTTGACAGGTTATATGGCGACACGGGTTTGTGATAAAACTATCTTTGAAAGTCGATCATTACAGCTGCATGCCTATATTTCAAGAAAATCTAAATTGGAAAAATGGACTATTGTTTTAAGAAAAGTAAAAAGTATACATGATTCAAGCATGTTTTTATGCGTTTATTGGCTGGTTTTGCAGTATTTATCACCCTATTTGAACAGCGTGGCTAATGTAGTCAGGACTATTTTCACATATCCTGTACTATTTTTGAGAATTGGATATATTTTAAGTGCCAAACTGCAATGTGTAAATTGCTTTCTGTGTAAATGTGCAATATTTTACTTCTTAATTTATTTTGAATATTTTCATGAAAAAATAAGCAACCTGAATGCAAGCTGCTTTTACTTTCTTTGTCTGTTTTACAGGTCATCCTAATGTTTATAATCGTACACTCAACTATATAGCAAGATTTAAGGTCTGGATAGGAAAGTCGTTTCATGTTTGCAACGGAAAAAGCCTCCGTGGAATTTGCACATTCGGTCCTAAGGATTTAGAGACATTACAGAGTAGATACGAGCTTTTTGCTAACAAGTTTAATATCCGAGCGTTCCCACAAGTGCCATACTGTCTGAGAAACACGCTACTAAGAAGGACATTTTTAGAATACACAGGTCGTTTAGATTACAATGTTACGTATTATGAAAATATTCCGCATAGAATATAGAATATATTTCACATCTTTAATAATTGGCATACAACTTGTTTCATCATAAACCAACCATAAATTAGATATATAACATTGAAGAGAACAATAGAGAATACTACAGGAACATATAAATACACTTAACAAAACTTATAACTGTGCAGTTTTTAAATGTAAATAACTTTTTTATTACTTGACATTTTTTACCCAAATTTTGGAATTCATCGTTTGAATGGTTTATATTTAAAATTCTATATTCAGAAATAACGGTTATTTTTGTTGTGTGCGTTCATCCGTGACATGTACATAAACAACAAAGTGCACGTGAGGATGACAGGTTGGCGCTAAATGAAGTTTTTATTGACCATCAAGGATTCTATTAAAATAAATGCATCCAAAAACATAAATTTATTGCAAATTTTTTGCAATTGAAAGAAAAATGGCCGTCTAGAAGTTTTACGCAAGGGAAGTTGCATTTCGGGCGCCCATTTTGAAAATAAATTTGCATAATATTTTCTCAAATAAACATATTGACTAAGATTTTACTTTAAAACTAAAAACAAACTTTCTTGGTTCTTTCATATTAATGAAAATATCGTGTTTGCATTGCTTTTAGTAACTGGGTACAACGCGTTACGGAGATCGACATAAACCAGTCTTAACTAAAGTTCAATAAAGCAAATATTAAAATTACAGTGACATAATGCCCTGGAATTCATTGTAGTATTATACTCTATCGGTGATCCTATGTTTTATGTTTGTATTTTAGTGAAATTAAGAGATTTAGACCTTTTTGCACTCATTATAAACACGCATTTTATAGAAATGTGAAATTCTGTTTTCGTGCAATCTTGCACACTTCGCTATTTCTCAGTAAATACGAATCGCCCTGACATAAAAATCGATACCCAACATTGCACATATCTTTACTATATTTGGTTAAAATTTCAGAGACCTATCTTTATTAGTATCTGAGAAAGTTTGATTTTTATACGTGCACAGTTATAAGATTTGTTAAGTGTATTGACGGAAATCAGAGAATACTAGTGAATTAACGTAGAATAAATCAAATGTTGGAAAAAAGGGTGTGCAAAAGGCAACGAATATGTATGGAAGTGTTGTAGTAAGCACTCAATATCTTTTGTTATCTCTGATAATGCTTCTATTGACTCTGTTTCTTTTGTTAAATCATCAAGGGACATCACTGATGTTTTTGATATGACGGGTCTGGAACTATTTTCCGAGATTAGTGTATCGTCTGATGCAGGTCAGGACCAATAATGTGTGTGCACATTTTCAGATCATTTCCTATCCCCGTTCTTCTTAAATAATTGTTATTATTGTGCAAAAAGACAAAAAAGTGAAAAGCGTTTAAAGTTTTTCTCTCAAATCTTTGCTAAAGATCACATAGAAAATCGATATTCAATTTAATTCTGGGTATACTTCTTTATTATCATATGCTGTTTTTTTTCCTTTTAAATTTGTAAAAATTTCAAATTATATGATAATAGGCCATTAATCTCAACGGAGATCCTTTAAGTTTTGTTTTGAATCAGGGTCTGTCTATTTGAAAAGGACCTTTTTGTATAAATTAATCAAAGCACTTTGAAATGTCATCATACAAACCACGTTTTGGTCAGGTGTTATTTGAAATAAATTATGTGGCGTAATAATAGTGTACTTCAGATAGATTATCAGTTTGTGCTTGGTATTTTTTATGCTAGTGCATAGAGTTTAATCAACTTAGATTTCAGAAATGTAACAAGTAACCAAGATCGTGGTCCTTTCTGTTTGAAACATACAGACTGCGGTCTGTAAACCCGAGTGCGGTCTTTTATCACTACACCAACCTCCTCGCCTGCGGCATTCAGTTTTTTACATTGTGTGATTTCTGGCCACAAACAAAAATATTACCATCAGGGTTGCAATGTCTCTTGGAAATTCTAAATCAGGGCTCTTGTACTAAGACAGGATTTTACCATACAAGCCCATCGTTATAACGGCAAATTCTCTGTCTGTTATATGAATCATTGTGCCGTCGGGGCTTTTCTCTAGATTTCTCGGGGAAGAAAATATTGGAATACCCTCGGAATCCCTTTCAAACGCCCGCAGTAGACCCCCAGACATATTGTACACCCTCAGCTGTGGTCTATTTTCGTATTGACCACCAATACACGCGACAAATATTTCTCCATTTTTGCATGCAACACCATAACATGAAACGCCTATTTTTATCAGACGTGACACTTTCAGTTTCTTATCTATTGTGATAAACTCAAGTTGTTTCTCACCTCTAAGACTGGCGATCGCTTCTGCAGGGCTAGCTAAACATACAGCGTTAGGTTTTCCGGGAAGGTCAACATGGTCAATCACGCGAAAATTAGCGGTCAGAAGTTTGAACCTTTTATGATGCGTGATATATCATCTTGCCGTCGGGAAGACAAACAGAACCTGTATCATCCTCACTCGTACCATGATCTGTAAATAATTGTCATTAGATATAAATTTTATATAACATATTAAAAATGAGCTACACAATGAAAACATATATCGATATACAAGGTTAAGAAAGTCGCTATATTTGAATAATACATAAAGTTTAGTCATTAAGAACAATCGTATTCTAAAACACCAAACTAAAACTTTTAGAAAAATTTGTAATTTAAAAAACATTCTACGAGAGAGCTTTTTCAATACGAAAATTATTGACGAATAGAGCAAAATGCATATACAATAACATAATTTTATACACCATCAATTATATATCATACATACATTGTGGTATTTATTTTAATGTTCTGCCATTGAAGATAAATGTACTTTCAGTTTTAATACTGTAATAAACACTCTCAATCATATTCAGGATACGAGCAATAATGTAAAAACGTTAAGAATTACTATAACAGAAGTACATTGTAAAGCGGCAGAAAATAAAACGACCATATTTAGAATAATAACCTCTTGATAACAACGGTATCAATTTATTGCAAACTCTGACTTCACAATGCATTAAGCCTTTCTAGAATGGCGCCTTTAAATAACAACCAAAGTAATATTAATGCTCTTGCAAAAGAGGTGTTGTTCTTCAGAGGTCTTCACTTAACCTGCAGTTATGTTATGAATTTCGGTAGATTATGCATTTAGAAAAGAACGGATTAAAGTGAATTGGTCTACAATGAGAACATTTTCCATATGTATTTCAAATATTTTGATGGCCAGGGAAAGAATTAGATACTGATGTTGTTGGTAAGTGCCATATTAAGCAGATAAGAAGTGTTCTAGAACAAAATATTATTCACCATTTATATATGTTCATACTAAATGAGTAATCACTTTAGAACTCTTTGTTTTCCGGAATTATTTCATAAGAATATCCAAAATAATAAAATTCTATTACCATGACTTATAGTAGTATATGAATTAAGCCTCTACAACAACATTAAGATAACTAATAAATGGAAACAATTATGTAGCAACAATATGATAATATACAACTCTGGCACCATTATGCGTTAAACATGTATAATTACCATGATTGTTATCATACAATGCTCAAATGACCAATGAAATCCCAAATTGTATTTAGTTCTTCCCTTCAAAATTTTACAAGAAGTCAAACCGTTCTCAAACGGATTGAGTCCGAAAAAAGTCCATTAAGGTCACGCTTAATGTCGGTTTCTTTAAAAGACTATATTAGCTTGCTTATTGTTATTATTATTATTATTAATACTATTATTATTATTATTATTTAAATATTATTATTATAATTATTATTATTATTGTTATTATTACTACTACTATTATTATTATGCGGACAAAAATGATTTTATGCAAGGAATGAGAAGGATTGATAACTAAATATTTTCTAAAAGAATTTATAAATATTTAGCTGCCTCTAACCATGAAGCATACATTTTATTATCTTTTAACATGATAATGAAACATAGCTATACACTAGTTGTTAACATTTAATTCACCTAACGCCTAATCGTATTTCAAAAATCACTTTCATGGCAAAATAGACAATTAAAGTAACTTAACAAATCTAGAACATTTTAGTTGTAAATGGAAAATAGGTAACTTGGCATATTAAGGAATAATTTAGTTCCTGTAAATCTGTGTGTCTTGGTCACCACGAATTTCTTGTGATCGTGCACACATTTCTCGCACAAATGTTCGCCATATTCAGTACAGAATTTTGTAGCATCAACCTTCTTATTTTCTCTACCACAAGGACTGCAGTGTGTTACTACGCACTCCTGTGACAAAAAAAGTCAGATATAACATAAGTCGTCTGAATAAAAAGTTATTCAAAAGTTATCCTGTTTTTTTTAATCATTTCAATATAACAATATTTAAGTTCGATATTACATAGAAGATATTGATTGAGTGTAGGTTCAATACTATATTTATTGGACGAGTTGAATATAATTATATTATGCGAGCATCTGGCACCGTAATTCAATCCCTGCATTTACTCTGCAGTGCGGGGACAGACGAAAAGCAAACACATGCATCATTTTCCCTGCCATTCCCATCTTCCGCGGATAGGTTGGCCGAGATTTTAATTGTCTATTAAATTATAAGTATGGAAAGATGTTTAGAACAAGAAGCCCAGTGACCGTTAATGCACAATCAAGCCCATCACGAGATTTTACAAAATTGTTATATTTTGTTTCATTAAAACGCATTTCAATGCCGCCAGTCGTTACAAATTGGTGTATGCATGAAAACAGAAACAAAAAGTAAGGTAATATACATTTTTGGATCTGGCACGCTTTTCAATATATAACATATATCAACATTCAAACCTTTCGTTTGACTTAAACAGGCTGCATTATTCGTATTATTGTTAGTCATGTTCTTTACTAGATATATCACTGATCTTACTGCATACAGCATCAGTTTTTATATGCCTTTAATTTAGACATAGTTTATATCAAATAATACCACTTACACAATACAGGCATGAAAAGACTAACTCCGGATTAAAGATTATTTGGGGTTTTCCCAGCTAATCCGTAGGTACAAGTTACAACTTTGAAAATAAGCGCATTGTGACGGGTAGTACAACTACGGATAAGCTGGGGGGGGAACCAACAT